ATGTAACTGTTTTAGAAGATAAGATAAGATCACTTTATTAGCCATATACAGTTTTTTGCATTAGGAATTTGTCTTTTTTTCACATACTCCAGCTTGCCCTCCATGAGACACAGACACAGATAGGGAGAGAAGCTTGGGGTCAGAGCGCAGGGTCAGCCATTGTACAGCGCCCCTGGAGCAGTTGGGGTTAAGGGCCTTGCTCAGAGGCCAAACGGAGCAGGATTCCTCTGCCAGCTGCGGGATTTGAACCGGCAACCTTCCAGCTATAGACGCAGATCCTTAGCCACAGTGCCACCGCTCCACCCCAAATACATCCCAAATACATATTTTTTTTCCACATTGGAATAATAACTTCCCTATACATGGTCATTATTTATCATTCCAGCTTACAGTTTTACTGTATGTGCCAAGAGAATGTCTCATAAATACAGTAACTGTTGTCAAAAACATTTCTTCAAAGCAACTGTGGACAAAGTAATATACAGTGTTGTACTGGCTGTTAGACCATTTGAAATTCAGGATTCAGTAATATTTCTGTGCTTTTCCCTTTCCTCTATATGTGTATTTCTGTTATAAGTTTGAGGCTCTGCTGCTCCAAAATCTGCGTGACACACATTGACACGCTGTAGGAAGTCTAGGTATGTTTTCAACCTTATCAAAGCTTCCAAATTCTGCTCCATTTTGTATTGTAGTTTACATTAAAGATGAGTGGCACTTCATGTTTCTTCCTGTACATTCTGTACATAGCTGCCAAACAAGAAGGTAACTACAGAGAGAGGAAAAAAAACTTTTATGATGACTAACCTATTGTGCCAAATCTGTTTTTACTAAGATTACTTTTTTCAGCACGTGTCCACAGAACTTCAATCAAAAACTTGGCTCAGAACAATAAAATACCTTTGACAAGCTAGACAACATGTGTATACAAAGATAATATCTTGCTGCTTTGCTGACAAATGAATTTTCATTCTGTCAAACGATAGGGAGATGTAATTTGCATATTGTCTTATTGATGCGTTTTTCTTAACCGTTGTGTTCTGTCACCAGGAACCGAGTGAAGCTCACTCCTTGGTTGGCTGACATCATTATTTGTTTTGTCAGCTTTGTAAGGTGCTTTAAAGGCTTTCCAGCTTTGCCTAAGAGTTTTCAGGGCAGCACAGCCTATATATCACACTAAGGAAGCTCAAAATATATCAGCTAAAACATCAGGAAACTGAAAATAAATGAAAGCAGAAAACGATTTCAATTACGCTGCCTGGCTCACCATAAATCTTGGGAAAGTGTCACAGAAATTGTGATGGGCATCTAGTGCATGCCAAAGCACCAAGAGCAGACCATGTGAGCCCCACTAATGGTTATTTTATTAAACACTTGATAGGGTGTCCTAATGTAAAAGAAAAAAAACGTATTCAGCTTGAACAGTTTTTAATTCAGAGAAACAAAATTGTCTGCCTTGCACGACCAATGAAGATTAGCTGACTTCTTGCATTAGCCAAGTTTGTCTTACGTTAAAGGTTGAAGTGACAAGACAATAACTAAGTGCTAATTGTGCGTAACCAGGACCATTGATATCCAGGGCCAATATACTTTGTATTAAATGAAGCGCGGCGCTGAAATATATGAGCTTCTGTACTAACGAAAGCAGAGTTGTACGTTGCTTAATTGCTGAAGGTAGAAGTCTAACATCTAGAATGTTTTTTGCAGTCAACACCTTCCAATGGTGAAAAGACTTAATGCGAAACCAACATTCATTAATAAAAAACCTCTTTTTTACGTTCTCTGGAATAAAAGTTGATGTTTTGCAAATATAATATTCAAATTACAGGTGATTTCTAAATGTACTATAATTGGGATATTATCTGTAGCCTACATTGTTTAAACAGTGCCACTATATATTTTTAAAATCTAAAATATTTTTGATACTGAATACATTTCTAATATATTTTTTATCTAAGCCGTGGTATAAGACAGAAAGGAGTCTTAGCTTATTTTGACTGAGAATATTTGGCATTCTGTTTAGAGCTGCATTTATATATCAAATGATTTCTTAACTACTGTAAATGTTGCTGTTTCTTATAAAAATGTTTAATGGTTTCTCTATTATATTGAATGTTGATTTATTTCAAGTTCCATTTTTAAATACTTATCAGATAAAACAGGATCATATTGTAAACGCCTTCAGAAAATAACATTCAACATCTACTCTATTTTCTTGACAGAATCTGATTTCCTCTTTGTAAGGAGTACATTGTACTGGATCAGAGACCAGCATTTTGTTCTTTGTATGATTTTGTCATTAGGCAGAATGGTTTGACCAAGAACAAACACTCCCCACCTCCAAGAAAGCAACCACGCAATAATAATTTTGATAAAAACTGATATAATAAAGTCTTCTTAGTTTACTAATCATTACAGTATATATAGGCTTCAAACTATGTATTTTTGTGGGCAGATGTTTGCACCACTGATCAAATAATGTACTGGGGGTATTCTAACATGCAGGTGTTACAACAGTAGTTCGCAGCAAACTACGGCTCAGATATACAGTATAATGATATCAATCTCCGATTATGAGGGTAAACTAAAGTTGTGGTCAGCATGCTGGAGTAGTGTCCATATATGTTCAGAGAATGGGTGAGCACATTTGAGGAACATGTTTTCTGTGATGCTGAGGAAGCATGCTCTTCAAAGGATATTTTGTTTTTATGTTCCATGTTGGTCATTCATAAAAGGCTTTAATCTTTTGTCCTACTCTCCATTTTTTCCAATGAATGGAAAAATGCCATGACAATGTTCAGTTACCCATTGGAGAGTGATCACTATTTCTTTCATTAATAAATACAGATCTACATCTGTAATTGTTATTTTGAAGAATATTAAAGTACAGTGAGCACCATGTTCTTGTTTTGGCAGATGGAGATCAGCAGACTCATCCTCCAAGTACATTTAGTTTTAGAATATAATCAGTGAAAACCTAGTCTTTGAGTTAGTAAATTAAACCAAACAGTATTTATTCTCAGCTTTAAAACGTTAAGGCATGCTTTTCGAAATTCCAGGACAAATAGAGGCTAATGACATATAAGAAAAATGGTTCCACCAGTTTCCCCTAAATTTCTCACACTGTATTGAATATTTTATTTCAGAGAGTATGAAGAGATTAAATTGCTCTCAAATGCCTCTCAGTAAAATAGAGATAGCTTCTTTTCATTTTGTCAGTGTATCTCAGATTATTCACTTATAAGGCCAAGCTCCCCACATTCTGAGGATAATGTTAAACAATGTGTGAAAAATCAAATACTTTCTTTGACTCAGGAGACTGATGCCTCTATGAGTAGTTGTAGGAAGAAAAGAGTTGAAAATAGAACTGTTAAGGTGACCCACAAGTTTTCAGAATATGATTATTCTGACACTGTAAAAAAATCCATCAGTATAAGTTGTTTTTTAAAGCTACATAAACCTCACTGGCACCCTTTATGCATCCATTTTAATACAGCCTTTTCATTTGCCTGAAACTCCTAGGAAGAGAAGCTACTTTAACAGGAAAATGACTGACTAGTGAAGAATAAAACCACATTAGCCACTTTTTACTATAAACCTTTTTGGGCATAATGTTACCTTTTAAAAATTTTGGGAACACGAACAAACCACATTTAACTCATCACTGCCGACAACAGTCGATCCCAAGCCTTTTAATACAGTTGGACACTGCTCTCCCACAAATATCACAAATGAAGGACAAAGGAAAGCGACTGGAAATCACTAACTAAATGTCATGGGGGCTTTGAGCAGATAAGCATCTCGTCTTTAAACATACAGTATGCCAAAAGCTTTAACTGGAAGGTCATCACAAAATAATAGATTTTCAATGTCTTTTCTATTTTTAAAAGCCACACAAATGTTATACATGTTGTCTCTCAACTAAAGTTTAAAGTTCAGTAGTAATTCAATTTATCCATCCATTATCAGAACTGCTTATTGTTATTGGTAAGAGTGGGAGCTACACGTAGTTTATTTTGGAAACATAGGGCACACGGAGGTACTACATCCTGGATGGGATGCTATTCCCCTGGAAAGCACACAGGGGCAATTCAGAGATACTAATTAGCCTAGCCAGCATGTTGTTTGAAGGTTGCAGGGAAATGTAAAATCAATGTAAATAAGCCATTTCACTGTTGCTTCAACAGCTAAATTATATTATCAACATTTCTCAAATAGATTTGCATGCTTAATGAACTAATAAAATGACTTTTGCCATACCTCTAGTTAAAGAAAAAATGGTTTATTGAATTGAAGTGAAAACTCCAAAACAACACTAATTTCTCCTGATCAATCATTTCATTATTATTAGTTGGAAACAAAGCAAAACGTGCCAGTAAAACGTTAAGACACTTGTCTCCAAAAAATAAAACTTAAGAATTAAAACCCATATGTTTGAAATGTTTTATGGAAGAGTATTTTCCAAGTTCAAAAGTTTAAAATAAACACACAGAAAAACAGGTTATCGTCAGATTGTTGCTTTAGGATTTCACACAATAACGAATATAGTAAGTTAGGGTTTGATTTAGTAAAAATATTCAAAGCCACTTGCTAAACCATGCCCAAAATTATTTTCTAGGTCATGTATTATTTGTATGTGTCTGGTTCTGAAGTGAAGTACAACACACATTGAATAAGCAGAATAAAAAGGGTCTGTATTATTCTTTAAGAATTGCAGATTTAAATTGCTTGGGTACTTCAACCTTTTTCTTCTTTTCAAAAAAGAATGAATCATTCTTTATACTAAAAGATACAAATAACTTGGAAATATAAAATGACGGGATCCTATGCAAGCTGTTAGACTGCAAATGGATGTGTGCTGTATGTATTTAATCAAAGATACAGTCCTTCCTGTTTCTATTGTTCTCATAGCTGGGACAGTTGGTGATGGCCAACTCTGGAACATGCGGCATAATCTGGATAACAATCTTCTGTAGCTCTCCGAGTCAGATATTTCTACTTACCTCTGATTGCAAAGTTGGCAGGCGAAGCAGTCCAAATGGTAAACATTGTCCTTGGCCCTCATTACCATCTCGAAGGCAGGGATAAGTTTGCTGCAGGCTGCACAGTTCCCCGTGACTCCAAATAACCTGCCAAACACAAAGGATACACGTGTTTCAGTCAAACTGCTCACTCAAATATTTTGAGGTCCTCAAACTGTACTGGTATACAGTACAATCATGGTTTATGAACACCAAATTATTTTTTTGGAAAAATCCTTTTCACAAAATAATAGCAGTGCTACAGTTAATTTGATCTCCCAGTCTTTAGTCTGAGTAAAAAAAAAGTACTTAAAAGTTAAAGTCACAATACTAAAATGCCTAACTGTGTACTTATAGATTTACTCTTAGCACTTATAAGGAAATATCATTGATATTAATTGGGCATTTCATTCATCTTTAAACATTTTCATCACTGATCATTTTCAAACATAGGTTTTCCCACAGGTACCACAGGCGAGCTTCCAGCTCTGAGTCCAGAGCCCTGACAAACCAGGTAACAGACTGTACAACTGTGCCTTTAGAGGGAATGAAATCAGAACATCCTAAAACATGATGCAGCAGAAACCACATGCAAAAGCAAATGTACGAAAAGTGATTAGTGTTTTCTGTTCTTGATATATTTGTGCAAATAAAAACAATCATGTGAACCTAACTATTAATGGAAGTTCTTAACTGAACTTACAGTACGAGGGATAGCGACAGTCTGGTTTTTCACCTCCATTGTTCTTAATCATAATTATTCAAAGCTATATATGATATACAAATTGCTCTTCCTTTCATATTTTGCTCAGTCTTCTTCCACCCCATCTTCGTCTTTGCAGCTGCCTCTTGGTTAATACCTCACTCGGCCCAGCCTCCTTGTCCTCTGGCCGAGGAACTGGCCTTCAGCTAAGCAGGTTAAGACACATTTCACTGCATCCTAATAGTAAATAAACGTCATCAAACACATACAGTATAACACCTGAAGGTTGTTATTCCTCATACTGTACATTTCTATGATAACTGTTTAAAAGTGACCCAGGTTATACGCTAAAAAACAATGTTTTGGAATATTTGTCAAGCATGCAATAAAGCCCAGAGTAAGGTATAATTGCTTTGTCACACATGAATCTCTAGGCCAGAGCTCAGTTTTTTAATATAACCTTAAAAACTACACATTTTTCTATTAAGAAGATCCATAAAAAGGAAGTTCATGAACACTATTCATTATTCTAATTTAGTGGTTCTGTAAAGGGCCTTAATAAATTGCCTTTTTCCCCTCTGGAAATGTGCACTCATCAGATAATTAATACAGAATTCCACCCATTTCTTGAAGACTCTGTTAATGACAATTTATCCTGAAATGTATCACGTTTATGGAAATAATCAAAAACTATTAATTCCAGTGGCCAGTATACAAGCAAAACAGGTATCACAGAAATCGTATTTTTATTACACACTCATTATAATTTGATTATGCACGTGCATGTCCATCAAATCTTCCTAAAAAGGAAACACTATACGTCCCTGTCTTTTTAATCTTTTCAAAGAATTTATATACTGTAAATGGGTAAGGTTTACCAGATTTTTACCTGTGTTTCTTACATTAAACAGCTAGTGCCCTTGTTACTGAGTGCAAGTTATTCTTTCAGTCAGATATACGGCACTAGGATGTAATTACATACACTTAAGTCAAAAAAATGGTTTCGGGGGCACATCTTTTGTAAAAATTAAACCACAATATTATTGTTTATAGCATTTGGAAATAATTTAAAAGCTAAAATATTTTTTATTTTATAAAATTATAAGTTAAGTTGCGTAAAGCTCCATGTATGAGGATTCTCCTAGCTACAGTATGTGACTGCTGTTGATTTCTTAGCTACTCCAACTAGACACATCTGCTTGCCAAAACATTAGACGTAATCAGTTGTAAGGTGTTTGCATTTCCAGCCTACAGACATCTGCCATTTCTGCCCAAAAAACTGTTTTACTATCCCTTATAGACAGGTTGTATGTTGGATATCAGAAAGGCTATCCTACAATAGATGAGGTTTTGCTTGAGGATTCTGTTCACAATGGCATTCTAACACGTTATTGTCAAGCGCCTACAAAAATGTGTCTTGTTTCTTTTGTAAGTTAGCAGATGTCTGCTTCCTCTCCCTCTAATGAACAATGTGACATTATCATGCAATTCTTTGAACAACACAATACACACAATGCTGACCTAACCTATAACAATCATGACTACACCCTCTCAGAGGATCAAGCTTCTCTCGCTTTACTTCTGTTGATCCTGTCATGTAAACAAGTTGGTAGCTACAGTGAGACCACTTGCGGCTACAAACTACTAATTGTGGTCTGGATCAAATTCCTATGCCCAAATTCAAAGCCAGCTTCTCAGCTCTTTGACTGTTTGCTTCCTACATCATCAATGAGTCCCTGAAATCTAAACGTCTACAACTACAGTATAACACCTACAATATGTCCTACTTCTAATTTGCTTTTTCTAACAAAAATTCTGAAAAAGGTGGTGGTTGCTCATTTACAGTCTCACTTTACATCAAATGAGGTCGTTGAAACAGTTAGTGTTTAGATGGAGACACTGTAACAGCCCTTGCTAAGGTGGTCAATCTATTTGCTTCTGACTCAGAGTGGCTTAATATTCTTCTCCTTCTGGATTAAAGTGCAGTTTTGATTATCAATCAGAACAGCTTACTAGACCACAAGAAAATGTATGGAGGGATCACTGGTACTCCCCTTTGATGGTCTTGCTCCTGTTTGTTGACCAGGAACATATTTGTAAATCTTCAATGTTTTGTTTCTTATGATGTTCCAGAAGGCACTGAGCTGGGACTTTTACTTTTTAGCTTTTAAATGCATCATGGTCAGATCATAGCATTTCACTGTCATGTTGATAATATTCATTTTTTTTGCAGACCAGATTAAATACTACTGCTGCTGGTTCAGATATAACAGATGTTTGTTTTAAGCTAAACTGTAGCAAGACTGACATTATACTCATAACAATGTAGCCTGTGTGTGTACAATGTCCAACTTTAGCTTTGCAAAGGTGGGGACTTCAGTGTTTTTGTTGACAATGTTGCAATTAAATCTTTAATGGATGGTAGAAACCTTTTTTGAACATCATAAATTCCACACTTCTTATAACCTGGCTTCTTTTAAGAAAGGGCTGGAGGATATCCTTGGATCAATAAACTGCTAACTACCGAACAGGCTACACAGGCTGAATGACCTACTCTCATTTGTAACCTTTATCATGTTTTTAGAAGGATATCTTTCTTTTACCTGTGTAAAATTCCCTGGTTCAGACTTTGCTCTGCCTGACGCTGAAAAATTGAGACAAGCCTTTTTTATTCAAGATTAGTCTACTATAATCTCTTATACACTGGGGTACATACATAGAACTAAGTGGGCTTCAGTATCTATGACATCTTTGACTTATGTGCTAAACACTCTGCATAAGAACTTAATTCCTGTCCTCTGTAAACTGCACAAAGAAGTACACTTAAAGGTTTTTCTATTCACATGTAAGACACTGAATGGTCTTGCTTCAGTTTATAAGAACTTACTGAATACTGTAAGTGTGATCTAAGTTTTAGTCTGGTTCAGCAGATCTGAGATTTTTCTACTCAGCTGAAGACCAGGATTCACACAATGGTCTTATTATCTACAGCACCATGTCTGTGATACTCACAGTCCAAATTTTTAAAAATTTAGAGAAGAGTAATGTTTTACATTTTCAAAACTCAGTCAAAACCAGCCTTATACATTATAAGATCTAGTTTTACTCCTGGTTTCACTGTGCTTTTTCACAGTTGTTTTTTTCTGTTGTTAATCATATGTGAGTCACTGTACAGTGCTTTAGATTTGTTGAGAAGTCTTCATAAAATTGTATTATTATTGCAGTTCTCCTAGCGAGGTAGAACGTGCTCCCCGAAAAGCCGGGCGGCTGATCCCAGAAAAGCTATTTTCCATCCTCATATGGTATCAAAGCATGATTCTAACGCTGACACTGATCCTAATTGGTCATAATAGCAATACTATATAAGGAACACTGTCGATTAAACAAAGTAATGTAATGGTTTGTTAGTGGTGGATTACATATGAGTTACCTATTGCTTAAAACTACTGTAGATGCAAGCATTTTTAGGAAAAATTGTAATTTGTTATAGTTCTATGTTAGTGGACATTTACAGTCCATAGCATGTGTATACTTTATGTATACTTTACTTTATGTATACTTTATGTTATTCTTTTCCTAATTAGTAAACTATCATTAGATTGTAGTCTATGGGATAAAGATGGTCCTAACCTTGCGTACGTCTGGTCACCTACACATTAGCTTGAGGTTTTTATCAGCTTCCCAAAGTTTGTTGCTTTGTATCTCTCCCTTCACCCCATCATCACCCTCACTGCAGCTCCTTGGCTCATTCCATCTAATGGGAGGTTACAGCGGCCTTCTCCTTATGGTCAGGCTGCTGTTCACTGAGCCAAGTGGGTTAAAACAATAATTAAAATCAAATTACTTTAAATTTTTGTCTTAATTAGGATCGTCTTAACTACTGACAATGATGATATGAAAAACACCAAATGAATAGAGCCCTTGTCACTTACACTTACTTAAATTTTCTCTTTAATGTACAGGATATTCTAAGATAGATCAGTTGGTTTCAAAAGATGAAAAAAAAGATTATTTTTGAAAAGTAGACATCTGTTGTATCCATCTTTTCACTGTGTCACTGTCACTTGGAGAGTAATGCAGTGTACTGGTAAGCTATTTGTTATACTTTAGCAGGTGTGGTTATTCTCAGTCCTTGTGCATTGTTAATTAACTAAGAGCTAAAAATATGAAGAACAACCAAAGTCCTTAAAAACCTAATTGCTTAAATGTTTTGTAAAAATATTACTGGTCCTGTTTCTATGGTAATTTCCAAACAAGCCACAACATGCTTCAAAACGTCATGTTTGACTGTCGACAATCAGCTGCCAATATCTGATATTAGGGTGTTATGAGTTGCATGACCCAGAAATGAAGCATTACAAAAAACGTTCTAATATCATCTGAGAAATTATTTTCTTCTACAGAT